GTATGAGAAAATTATGATTTTTCTAAGTTTCGGAATAGTAGTAGACAGCTAAAAACATGAAATAAAGATCGAGTGATTTTTAGCCGACACAACCTAAACGAGAATCGAATGTCTTGTCAATAGTAGTACAACGGTAAAAAGACTAACGAAAACGCACATCGGATGAAGAAGTTATGAATTTTTAATGGATTTTCCTGTTTCAGTCTGTTAAAAATAATAACATTAAAAATAAATCAAAATTAGTCGACGAACTCTAATCAAAAGTTGTAGAGCATAATTTCACCTACGTGTGCATATAAAGAACATCAAAAACGGAGCTCTTATGCGAAAGTTATGGATTTTAGAACTTTTGGACACAAAAACAGAGAAAATCATGAAAACCGAGGAATTTCCGTGAACAGTAATCGGCCACATCATCCTCGCCCGTGAAGCATCGTGTGTTCGAATTGGTGAGTCATCCGAGGCCAGCTCTCCGACTCGTGTCACACCCTCCTCGCACCAAAGGCTCGGCTAACCAGAAGTCTACATGTACCTTCCTCGTGTCTCACCCTCGCACCGCCACCTCCCCCTCCCCCTAGCATGCGAGCAACGTACTCGCCTCTCCTTGCTTCAGATCTAAGGCTCGCACCTATATATAGAGGGTGTGAGACCTCCCGGGTAACTTTGGAAATTTGGTATTTTTCACCCCTAAACTCATATTTTTACTATTTCAACTTCCCCCGAAGCCCCGGGATCATTCCCAACACCCAAAATATGTTATGAAATGTCCGAAGAGCCAAATAAATTTATCTTTTCGGTTTGAAGCTCAACCTTCACTAGACCCGGTTTTCAAGAAAGCTCTCGGTTTTTAGCGATGAAAGTTATCTATTATAACGAAGTGCTGCACAAATTACTATTTTAAACCCCGATTAATTCATAGTGAGTTCAATATAGGGACAATTGTATGTTATGTGTTATATGTTCAATGTGCTTTCCCATGTTATTATGATAATGAGCTATACCCTAGGCCATGAAGTGTATGACATAAGCATCACTTGGGTACTGGTATGTAGCCTTTGGCCATGAAGTGTATGATAAGCATCACTTTGGAATAGTAGAGTATAGAGACATGGTTGGAAGCCTGTGTATTCTAGTGAAATGATATTCTGAAATCATATTTTCTATGCCACTTGGGTTGAAGTCTTATTGATGTATATTAGGTGTTGAAATTGTTATGTCTCATTGAATTCAAATCTTTGAATCTGGTTATTCGTTGAAATGGAAAACCTGTCATATAATACTCATTTTCCTATCTTGTTCCTTTTCCCCTATGCTTCTATAATATTGATATGTATATGGCATAATGTTATATTGTAATTGTTATTGAACTTACAAAGCATCACCCGCTTATCCCTCTCAATGTTTTAACTATTGCAGGTGATAAGCATCTAGTATAGTTTTGTACTGGTAAAAGATGTAGAATAAACAATATTATAACTTTTTTATTGTATTCCTGGGAAAGTATGTAATATGTGTAAAACTTTGTAAAAATCTAAATAGTCGGTTTGTATCCAATCTATGTAAATAAACTATCAATGTAAAATATTGTTTTATGAATATGCATGTAGCATGTTTTGGAGTAATAATATTCAGAAATATGATGTAGTTATAGAAAGAATGGAGTATATGTATTTCAATCATGGTATCAGAGCAGTGGTTTAAGTGAACTACATATCATGGATTGGTATTTAGACTTAAACCGTTGGAACGGATTCATTGTAAGTATATGGATACAAACCATAAGAATGCTTTAAGTGGGGTATTGGGTAGTGATAAACCCTAGTATTCTAAAATATTAAGTTACTTTAAAATTCTCAGAGAATTAGTTTAAGGGAACTAGGAATTTTGAGAATTTCTATACTGAAACATGGATTGCTAAAGGATGATGATACGACGTGTATCTAGTATATTTTAGGTTGAATACCTAAATGGACACAAGCACTATAATATTAAGAGGAGATATGCCTTATATTCTAATATGTACTAAATGATAAATGAATATAGCATGCCTTAGGTTGCTTCCCTATATTGCTATTATTTGAGAAAGTTTAAGGTTTGTTGCCGATCTTGGTCTGGAAGGAGAAATTTTAAGTACACCTGATTCTAAAATTTATGTATTAGAACTAATATGAAACTTTTCGAACTGATAAAAATACTTATGATAGTAGACATCAATAATTTTATTGATAAATGATTGAGGGATATCATAAAATAATATTTATCAAGTGATATCGTAAATAATGTATTAATACCTATTGAGTGTTATTGTACATTTAAAGTATGTTAGATGAAATAATAACATCTTTGGAAGAATGATGTGCGTTTGGAACACATTTGGGCGAGATAAATGTGTTGGTGCAATCTATAAAGTTGTTCCACCGCTGACCAGATTAAAGTAGTGATTTCTTACAGAGTTAAAAGAACTGAAGATGGTAACAAATACTTTGATGATATTGAGACTAATGTTGTGCAAGATTTTGAAGAATTCAATAAAGATCAAAGGATAGGCTAACAAAGTTTTCAGACTCAATAGGCCAAGACCTTGCCTAACATTGTGATGTAGTATGCAGTTTGAGTATTATGATAAGAGTTTATATGTAACCCTATGTAGGATGCTCACACTTAGTATTTAATAATACTGAGTGGCAATTTACTTCTATCACATCCTTATGAAAGTTCCATGGTGTGTTAAGTCAGCTTTAACATATATGATTAGGATAATGAAATAGGTTATTTGGTTGTGAAAAGGTTGGGTGACTTACTTATTAGAATAAGGTAGAGTACTTAGTTAAAGAAGATATACATTCATAGTATTGTATGAGAAGAGATGTTGTAGTTAGAAATAATAGAGAACCAAGTTGAAGCTAGTAGAACATACTGAGATGCAGCTATAATGTGGACTTCCTAGGATAGACTCCTATGAAGTAGACTTAAAATATACAACCATGAGAAGAAGACTTACTCATATGCAGGAATGATGATGTCATGGAAGAATAATTCAAATGAACGAATATGCATCATGATTTGTATTAGTTAGAAGATGATGCAAGTAGTTGGAAACCGTTTGTCTCCACAATACTAGGATAAATTATGGTATAGTGTGTCTTGTAGAGTAGACACTACCCGAGGAAGAATTTATATGAAGAATTTGCAAGTGAAGTTCCTATTGATCTAGGAAAAGTATTAGGATATACTAAATCGAGCATATGGGTAAAATGGATTCTAGAAGGCGAGTATAAGAAATCCAAGATATGTTTGATAGAAATGTGAAATCCCTAGTTGAGTCTAGGAGAAATTGTTTTATATACTTGTTTGAACACATTCAGATGTTGAAAGTTGCTTTGTGAAAACTTTTGAATGGTGACTTGGAAAACTGCGAGATAATACTTGGGATGAGTATGCGTAGGTGTGAATAGTAGTAGAGGCTTATACTACTGGAAGCATAGGACTAACACTTGGATCAGAGAAAGTCACAAGGTTACCAAGAAGCTAGAAATTGATTGCGTTTTTGTTCGAGTATGTCATTACCTTTGTTTCGGTGATGACTAAAAAGATGATTTTCGTTCAGACCTTAGTGGTTATAAAGAATCGAGTCCGACTTATATAAATTTGCGAAGAAAGTTGATTGGTTCAGAGAACCATGTCTTGTGTAGTGACAAAACTTTAGTCACAAAATTGAAAAAGGAGATGGTCGAGGTAATCGATAAAAGTATAACAGCCTTCATTAAAAGGTTAAGCAACCATTAGTTAGAAATTCTACTAGTTATGAAAATATTATATCACATTAGAACATTAAGGAAGGTTTCCTCTATAAGAATGTTTGACAAAAGAGACAAGAGTATGGTTCATTGTGTGTCTTTTGTGTTACAAAAATCAAAGGTCATTATAATATGACCATTCGAGTTAGTGTTGTAGAAAAAGTGAAGACCTTATCTTGAGATAAGTCTATAAATCAAATTTAAGAAGGAACAAGAGAGTTTCAACAAAAGAGAGAAAACAGAAAAAATATATAAATAAATAAAATCCATAAATATAATATACGTATGTTAAAGGTAGGAAAACTAAAAGACCAAAAATGTAATATTAAATGTATTTCATGGTTTTAACCATTCTGGTAGCTAATCATTATGGTAATAATTTTGACTATAGGGTTAGAGGGTGTTGTTTTTAGTAACTTATATAAGATTAATGGTAAAATGTGTATAAAAAAGTTTAATGATAAAATGTGTAAAAAGAAGTTTAATGATATAATGCATACAAAAAATAAATAAATAATATAATATGTACATAATATATAGTAAAATTTGCGTCAGCAGCCATATGGTTGGTGACCTACTATTACCTGTAACGTAATTATATTTTTTGAGCAATTATGAAGTTTAATGGTCGTACGTGTAAAGACGCTATAATTGGTTGATGATATATGTACAAAAACAAAAACAAAAACAAAAACAAAAAAAAAAAAAAAAAAAAAAAAAACAAACAAACTCAATGATATTTTTTATACAATTCTGATACTTCGTTACCTTACAAGTCATTTTCCCAAAGAAAATTACTAATATTTATACAATTGATTAGGTTTTTCATTAGAAAATATGGAAAGAGTAAAACAAACAAAATTAGATATTAAAAAAACAAGTCTAACATATTAAATGGGTTGGGAGAGTCGTAACATGCTTAAAACAACTACAAACGCCAAATACCATAGGAGGTTTCACGGGTAACATCAATGTGATATGATGTAAATAGTCCTGCATCCATCTAAGATTAGAGTGATTCTTCCTAAAAATGACATTCTGCAATTAAAACGCTGAAATAAAAATAACATAAAAATAAAGATGAAAGTACAAAGCTGATAGTAAAAAGAAGACAAAAAGTGAAAAGGTTAGTACCGAACATAAAACATAAAACACAAAACACCTTCCTATCTTATATCTTAGCTAAGATTCAACCATTCATGTCTACCCTCACACTATCTTCCAACATAAAGATAAGCGCAAATTCAAGATTTCAAAAACGCGTTTACACAATAAAAACCCGACACAATTGCATGATAAAAGTCTATATATGCCATAACTAGCATTGAAGTATCAACATGCTTTTGGAACCATTACATTAAAGGTAACCAAAAACAAGCAATGTAGTTCTAAATCTCATATAAAATCCAACCAAAAAAAGATTTACATCCTATCTTAAACAACATCCGAATTAAAACCAATCACTGTACATGTTCTCCCATTGCAGGAACATGATCACACATCCGAGATCCATTTTCAACATATTCAAAACCAGTAGCAGCAGCAGTATTCGGACTCTCACTTGAGGAACTGGAGCTAGGGCTGGAGGAGGTGAACAGCTGTCCATCTTCTTCACGAACCGGTTGTAAAAAGCTCTGCATTCTAACAAGGTAACTAGATGGTTGGATTCTAACATGATGATGAGTCACCGAGTCAACCGGGATAGTCAACGGATTACTTAGGTTAAGATTAGGAAACACGTAACACCGGCATCTAGGGCACTTCATATTTACTCTAAGCCATTTATCGATGCATGCAACATGGAAATTATGCGCACAAGGAAGCCCACGTACCTAAAAAAAATTAAATTTTAACCGCTTTTCATTAAATGGTTTTCACAATACAATAAGGAAATAATATTTATACTACGGATTTACGGTTTTACCCCTTGCCCGACATGAAACTCTTCCAAACAGATCGGGCAGTCACTGCAGTCGGTCGGGACGGCTTTTAAGATAAAAACTGGAAGCCGTTGAATCGATGTTTCCACCGCTGTCCTCTACATTTCCATAATTAGAAAGTCATACAATACTTTTCAACTTTTTTTTTTTTTTTAATTTTTATAATCAAACTTGCTAAATTTATATACCTGTGATTCAGATAAATCTTGTCCAGGACTATACGGGGCGCCATCTTGGTCAACGCCTCTCATTTCTTGACCGGCAGTTTCAAATACCCAATCGGGTTGACGAATCATATTAAGCAAAACCTGAGAGAAAAAAAATTAGTCAGTCATATCTGCATGCAAAACACAGTACAACCTGTTCTGTTCTGTACTGTAAATTCATGTCATGTCAGGTCAGGTCATGTCAGTCTGTTGAGGTTACCCTATATTCTGATATACGGGTCCCATGTGGAGCGCGTCGCAAATGAGCTTGCCTTCTTGTTAACCACTACATAAAAAAAGAAAGAAAAATATATTGTGAGATTATATTTCCAAAATAGCAAAATTTTAGAAACAAACTACAACGGTTACCTTTTTACCGAAATTACCCGCAAGGCAAATGAGTCCACAGAAGCTAAAAAGTAACCATACAAGAAATCCCCATTTCTGGTTTTTTTCAGGTAACTGTGACAAATATGAAATAATATCAAATATAGAGTTTACATTTTGATTTATTTTGATGAATCAATTAAAGAAATCAAAATGATGCACACATACACAGTTTCTTGCTCCAGCAAACCAAACAGCCCCAACAACACTCCATGCCCAAAGAAAGGGGTAGAGCACTGCGTACAGAATAGATAGAACTACAATTCTTCCAAAAAAATGACGCCCTCTTAGTTGTCTGCCAAAATCCCTGCATAATTTACACAATATAAACCCTAAAATCAAAAATATTGTATCTTTCCGCATGCAAATCTTTCTTTTCCCCTTTTGATGATTCAAAATGATCTAAAATGATCTACTTAATGGAAACCTACATTAGGGTATCGTTTATCAAGTTTCGATTGTTAGTGATTTGTATGATTTAGGGGCGAGGTGGACTTACAATCGCACTTCAGCTGCAATCGCATTGTCTACGAACATCAAGAGGCGGAAAACAAAGACCGCGGCATAATCAACCTTGTTTGAAGAATCGAAAGCGCAAATTAGTGTCTATAGATGAGAAATTCAGGTGAGATTAAAGATTTGACGAAAGATTTAGTTCACAAACCGATATCCATAGGTGCAATGGTAATTTACAAAGGTGGTAATGGTCCCAACTCAAGCCGACCATTATTCTATTAAGTGGCAATCGTCAAGAAAAACAAGATGGATAATGATTATACGAAGTAATATTATATATATCGCGATTTGATCTCAATTACAAAAAAGGATACATGCTAAACGCAAGCATTGATAGAAAGAATCCATCGTACCTGTAAAAAAATCAGGAATTCAAAAAACCAAACAATCGCGATCAACAAGAACTCAAAAGGGGGTCGAATTTCGAACGGAAAAATGCAGAATTGCGTATCGAATGAACTAACCACTTAAAACCTGCGCCTGTGATCGCCATTGAAGAATGAAGGAGCTACTTGGAGAAAACCCTAGGCTTGAGTTGTTTAAGAAATGAAGTAAGGAATTAAACTGCTTCCAGATTATATAGGATTGAAATTGAGAAGACTGAGATACAAAATTCGAAAAAAACCCACCGACTGAGAGAGGGAGGGAAGGGGAGTAACGCACACAGTAGTGTGTGTGAGAGAGAGAGAGAGAGAGAGAGAGGGGAGATAGCGACGAAAATGGCGAAGGTCAATTTGGTGAAATCATTTTCTTCTTTTCTTGGGAAAAAGTTATTTCTGTGAACAGATGATTTCTGTAAAGGTAGCGAATGAATAACCGGTGGGAATATTTGGGCCAACGGATTTACATCATTACTCAAGCCCATTTATATATGGTCGGCTCACTTGATGACTTCATATTTTCTATACTTGGATCTTTTCTAATTCATCGGTGCACAAAATAAAATGTTATAATAAAAAACTAGTTTTTAAACGAATTCATTCCTTTTGTATAAAATAAGTACGAAACCGAATCCAGAAAAAAATATAAAAATAAAGTAAATGTATGAAGTTATAAAAACAGATTGTAAAAAAAAGCATATAGAAGTGAAGAAAAGTGAAGTTGTAAAAACCGATTTAAAAAAAAATGAAAAACAAAGTAAATATATATGATGCTAAAAATAGATTGAAAAAACTAATTGAAAATAAAGTTATAAAAAGAACTATTCCAAAAAAAGGTAAAAACAAAGTTAAAAATTAAGATTTAAAAATAAATTGTGAAAAAACATGCAAAAATGAAAGAATATGCTAAATTTCATACTCTCATTCAAATTGTCAAATGTTATTTTTTGATTATTTTGAATTAAATTTTTTTCCACATATCATTTTATGAGTTCATCTATTTTATTAAATTTTACATAATATTTTAATGTAATAATTGCAATAAATATAGTAATAAATTGATATCAATTTTATTAATAAACTTACCTTTTAATCTCAAAATTTTCAAATTAAAACTCATTATATTTATATGTTTATTTGTTTAAATTTTGAAGATAAAAAATATTTTAATTATAATAATTCATTATTTTTTTTCTTATAAATTCAAAGTTTTCATATATTATGATGTTTATATTTAATTTTGTTTTAAATTAACTCATGTAATATATAGTCTCACAAACTAGTATATATATCAAATAATATAATTTTAACAATTTAGTAACTCATTGTAGCCCAAAATTGTTCAATGACCTAACACAATAAAAAAAAGTTCAATAACCAAGTGGCATATATTAAAAAATTTAAATTATCTAGTGATATTTTAATACTTAAAATAAGTTAAATGACTAAATAAACATAAAGCAAAACATTTAAACAACGAACAAATATGATCTTAATCTAAAATAAAAGACTCCTCTTTGTATTATTATTAATATGATCTTAATCTAAAATAAAAGACTCCTCTTTGTATTATTATTGTAGTGAACTTAGTATTTCTAACCAAACATTTAAATCGAGGAAAATTAAGTAGTTTAATCATTATACATGAACTTTTCAAAAAAAAAAAAAAAAACCATATTTTTTCAGTTTTTAAAAATAATCATTCTTTCGGAATGTCTTAGTTCCGAAGTGATGTTAATATTCGAGAGTTTTATTTTAAATTTCTTTCAAATGAATCTTTTTTAATATTTTTTTGGGATTCCGAATGCTACATTTCGACGTGTTTACTGTCATTATTTTTCAATAAAATAGTTTATTTTATGAACTAATATTTTATGTAGTTAACATAATTATGTTTTTTTTAAGTTTTGTTAGATTTAGATAAACAAATGAATTTTTTTATCGAAATCTGGAATTACTCGTCGTATTTCGGACTTGATCTTGAAATTTTTAAGTTTTTTTTGAAATCCGAAATTTCAGTTTAGAATCCGGAATGTTGGTTAGGAATTTTGTCCGAAATGTACTTTTTTGTCTGAAAAAAATGTTTTTTCTTAGTTTGAAATGTCCATTCCGGATCAAATGATTATTTTTGCTTAAAATAAGTTTTTTTTTTTTTTAAATGTGATTAGATTACTTAATTCGTCTTAAATTTAGATCATTTTTTGCCTTAAACCAATTGTAATATAAAAATGAGGTTAATCATTTTGCTATTTTCTTCTTACAATTCTATCGAACATTTAAATTCATTCGATTTGCGGTTTTTAAGTATAAGCTAATTGTTTTTTTTAATTGTTACAATATAAAATTAATAATATGTTATATTAGTTCAAAATTCAAATCACTTTATTTTATCATTATTAATGATTGTAGAGGAACTCTGACAAATGACAGTTTTCTATTTAGCCTCCAACAGTTTCCAAAAAAAAAAAAAAAATCCTTCAAGGAAAAGATATATTTTATTTTCTGTTCATCTAATTTGAAAACTGGTACTCCTAACTACACTAATGGATTCGTGTATTGCATGGAATTTTGTGTTATCACATCACCTATTCTTCAAGTGTTCAGCTATTTGGATCCTTATTACTTTTTTAAAGGATCCTTATTAATTATTTTAATAATTACTTTAACTTTTTTCTTAAAATAAGTTAATCATTTTAAGCATATATATTTTTAACCATATATTTTTTTTTCAAATATATAAAATAAAATATTTTAAACAAAAAAAAAATTTAATTTATTTTTGGTTTTTTAATGCAATTTATTAAAATCATTTTTATACGTAAGCATAATAATAAGTGACTTCAAATACGATATAATAATAATACTTAGTTTTCATTTAAATATTTAATATCATTTTATTTTTATTTTTTGGTTTATATAAATATTAAAATATATAGAAAACATTGATATGTTTGCATTATTATTTAATTATAAAAGTAAAATATATAATAAATAAAAAGTTTATAGTAATTAAATGATAAGTACGAGTTTCAAAAAAAAATTAACTTTTAGTAATCATAAAAGCTATTGATATCATAAATGCACGGAATTTTATGCCTAAAAGATTATTAATGAGGGGTCCTTTAAGAAAATCTGGATCCAATTAGTAGGACCCATTCTTCAATCTATGGTATAATTTTTTTTATTCAACATCCCACAACTTATAATAATAATCTATATTAAACCTCCAACTTTTTAATTCTTACTTTCAAGCCTTTATTGCTAAAGTTAGTTATTTATAATAATATATTAATAATATATTTTTAACAACATTTTATAAATAATATTTTTAAAGTAAAAAATTACCGTAATTGTGTCCAAAATAATAGACACTATGAAAGAGAAAATTTGAATTTGTGTTCATATCATGACATTATAAATATAAAAAAATATAAAAATTAAGCGAAAACAAAGGAGAATGTTTCAATTGTTATCTTTATAAAATTATCTCTATCTATTTTCTCATATGGCCATATGATGTTCCAGAAAAAACTTATGTAATTTTACTGAATTACCATCTACCCACCATTTAATTAAATAAAAATGACCTGGTTTCTAAGAAATACCAAAATTACCTTTCTTAATCATAGCATGGGGTAGTAGTGGTGGCGATGGTTGTGGTGGTAGCGGTGGTGGACAAGGTGACGGATGTGGTGGCGGTGGTAGTGACAACGATGATGGTGATGGCAAGGATAGCGGTAACACTGGTGGTAGCAGGGGTAGTTGAGGTTAGAGCGGCAGATGTGAAATACATAGTTGAGGTTGAATCTCAAGATCTTTATTTTATTTTTAATTTCAACAGAATATATATATATATATATATATATATATATATACTAATAAAAGAGTAATTTTTTTGTCATGTCTTATCATATTAGACATCTTAATTATGTGTTGCCACTTGTCAATATATTAGTTCTCCATTTTAAATTTTTTAGACTCCTCATTAATGTGATGTTATTTATCAATGTATTTATTCTCTATTATAAAATTTAAGTTTTATATTAATGTTTGCATTAGTTAACAAATAAAAAATCTCTAATATATATATTAAAAATTAATTTTACATATTTATTTGAATCAACAATTATAATTTCGCATAACTAAAAAACTATCTCTTAAATTTATAATTTATTTAAAATAACGGATTAATAATTTTAAATTTTTACTATAAAATTTAATTAATTTTATAACCATGGTTCCCACGGGTTATAAACTAGTTGTGTGTGTGTGTGTGTGTGTGTATATATATATATATATATATATATATATATATTAAAGTTGTAAAATAATATAAGGTTTGATTTTAGAATTATTAAAAGTGTAAGGGCATTTAATGTAACTTGGAAAGGAACCTCTCCGTGAATTTGTATAACAGCGGTTTATGATACAAATTTAATATAAATATATTTAGAATGGTCAAATTTGGTAACTGTCATATATCATTCAATCAATTCATTCGTGTATTTGGAAGTGAATTCGTGCATTTAGAATTACTCATGCTTACATACACCTCATGATTGACACGTCAAACCACAATCATGTCTATCCCGCTATTCACCATATTAGTCAGTATTCTCTGTAATTTTAGTATCTTTGACACAATTTGCACAAACATAGACACAACGGGCTTTCTACATTGATTTTTTTGTATAATCCAAACATAACAAAAGAAATATAAGAATACCCTGGAAAGAAAATAACACTAATTGTCCTTTTAACTAAAAATTGGAAAAATAAAATGAATAAGACCCCCTTTCAAAATAAGCCATATTTTACAAACAAACCCTTGTTAAATCCAAATGATCATCTTGTCCCTTTCTTCCTTGCAATAAAAAAAATATCAATGTCTAATATGTTGTGAAAAAAAAAAGCCAATGTCAAAAAGTCCAAGTCTATCCCTAATAAAAATTCGGCAGGTTTTTCAAACTACAATCTCTTAATAAGAAAAACTTTGAAAGTGCCTCATTGTCAATGGTTGGATTACACACATTCATCCCACTTTTCATCTAGAGGTATGTTTTTTAGATAGCAAAGTATGTTGCCACTTTTAGCATTTAGTCCAAACTTAAAAAATTTATAAGTTATAAATAAAATAGGACATACTACTATGGCATTATAGCTGATTTGGCAATATTTCAAAAAAAAAAAATGAATGTGTAATACCCTATTCATAAAAACAAAGCAAAAAAACAAATGTAATTTTGTAATACAAAAACAAAACACCGAGTGGGACATCATTTTTTTTCAATTATTATCCAAAACATCATTACACACGCAAACACACCTGTGATTTATAAGATGAATTCAATTTTAGCCCATAATTTATGAAAGTGATGTTCTCTTTCTCGGTAGGAGGTGCAACAATTGCAAATTACAATACAAAAAA